TGGAAAAAAAAAAAAACAACTTAAAGATTTCAAACATCTAAACACAGTTTCTAAACATTTGAAAATAACAAGTTCGGAAATGTTTTAAGCATAAGCATAAAACTGCAATATCTCATAATGACCACCACTGCCCCTTGAGTCCGGCGCCAGTTGCTGAACATGAACATGATAATTGTGGGGGTGAGCAAAACACTAGCTCACCATGGTAATGATGCAGAGAAGCGTACGAGTGGGACGATATTAATAAGATTGCAATCTCGAGAACACCTAAACACGATATCAAATTAGCTTTTATTCATAATCCACTTCAACTAAACAAAACAGTAGATGAGATGCCCTTAAAATAAGACTCAAAAACCCAATTCCTAACTCCAACAAGACAAGATCTCTTATTAAATATTAAATGCTAATAATATTAAAAATAATACTATTTATTATATTCCCTAATAATGTATCTGAATTATTCTCCCCCAGTTCGGAAGACTTCGCCTTCAAACCCGCACCAAACGTGGCGACACCAAAGTCGTACCCATGGAATCCATTGCCCGTCATTTTCCGTATCGAACACGAAGGTGGAAGGTCGCCCAATAGTTCCAATGGTAAATATAATGTTGACCAAGGACGTAACTGCAAGGCAATTATACACGCCCTCATACTCATAAACCCCCCCCCGAAATTAACACCATAAATACATCATCGTCTGCTGCGCTCAAATCTACAATTATGACCAAGCATTTCGTTGTTAGAAGACTTCGGTACAAACAATCGAAAAATGTTCCAACAGCTTTTGAGACCCGACCTCGGCTCCGAAAAAACATCCATGGCCAAGATACTCCCAAAATTGGGTCCGATCGACGGTTGTCTAGTTCGACCGATGCGATTTTCCATGCGGGGCCCATATTGTCGCAAATATGTGTCTCCATCACCGCAGGCTCCTCACAAAAAAGGGTGGACCATCGTACAATGACCCATCAACTGCCTCTCTATCGAATTCGGGGATGTCAACGCGAAACGGGCCCTTCTATTGACCATATTCGCAATCAAGTCCTCAATCGCGTCGGGCACGATATCCGCCAAAGAAGGTAGCCTCCTCGCGCCTACCTATGTTGTCGCGTTGATCTTCGTCGTCCACAAAGACCGATCATGTCGCCGCATGTCACGGCCATTGTATGCAGCGAAAGGGTCAATCACGACTTACGGAGGTGGATAATCCTTGAAGTGATTCACCTCTGAGATTGTCTCCTCGCCGTCTTCGTTGCCAGACGGTGATTGTAGAGATCTCCGGCGGGGCACCACGTCTGGTCTACAGTCTCCACGTCCTCCGCGAATTCCCCTGCGCACGCCCCGGTTGCTGGCGTCATGGTACGTTTGCTTGTCCCGAACCATAGTACGGATAATTAAACGTATGTCCCCAATCTCAGCAGACAGATCTGCAATATGACGAACCCGGGCCGGCGGCCAAACCACTCGGCCCGACGGCTCAGGTTGTAGATGGTGGCGACACGTCTGTTGTTTGCAGCATCTTGTCTTCGCGACAGCATCGTGAATCGTGCTGACTTCGGATACCAACTGATGTAGGGAAGCGTACGAATAGGACGATATTAATGAGATTGCAATCTCAAGAACACCTAAACACGGTATCAAATTATCTTTTATTCATAATCAACTTCAACTGAATAAAACAATGGATGAAGAGTCCTTTAAATAAGACTCCTAAATCTTATTCCTAACTTGTCCAACAAGACAAGACCTCTTATTAAATATCAAATGCTAATAATAATAAGAATAATACTATTAATTATATTCCCTAATAATATATTCACATTAGGTAATCTATACTATGTGACTATTCGTAATAATAACAGATACCATAATCACAAAATATAAGTAAATTGGTCTGAACTGAACTCATTCGTTGGATACACTGGTAGCTACTCGCTCGATATCGGAAGACAATCTCATGTGCACACTTTTTATCGTCGGATATATGGGTTGCCCTACTTGACAACGGGAGATCTAATTGATGCATAAGCTTAGGCAAATGCTCACTAATATACATCAATTGACATAGCATAGAAATCCACGCCTTACTAATGCTCATGAAAGACTGAATGAATATATGTGTGTCTTTGTGAGGGCTCGACTCCTCTTAATCTACAATTTAAGTTAATTTAATCTTACTATTACTGGTTTTGACTAACAGGTAGAACAAACTAGGCAATTAAGGAAAACAAGGCAAATAAAATAGGTAAAAACAAATAACCCACATAATGACAATTAAAAACAAATAATTCTTCTAACTCTTCTTGACTTTTCTAGGCTCGTCTAGAGTTCTCGAAATTTCTAACTTAAGCTCGAAAAATCTAATTTTTATAAACTTGCTCGAACCGTCCGGTTAGCACACGGTTAAATCCAGTTCGGCTCGCTAAACCGCTCACATCGGCTCGGATTCGCTGGCTTGGGCGCGCATGCTGGTTGCACCGCTGTTGGCCCGCATTGTCACGACAAATGACTATGTCTCGAGTGTTGGGCGCTGGCAAACTGCAGGACACACACAGGCACACACGGGTTGGCTGGGCAACGGACACGCAGGCGCTGAGGTGCGAGCGCGCTGCACTGGGCGGTGCGCGGGCACGAGAGTGCGAGCACGGGCGCACGTCTGCGAGCTGTGCGGCGTCTGCGAGGACAATGCCCGAGGAAATACTAGGTCGTTGCGGGCGCTGCGCGGCGGCTGCTGGCTGAGACCTGCTGCGGTCATTTTCAGACAAAATTCACCGGTCGGCCAGACTTTTTCCGGCAACTCACATGGCTAAATAAAGCTAATAAAATGGGCTTCTTAACCATGCTAAGGCTTTGGGAAAAAGGCCACATAAAATTCAATCTAAACCAAGACTTAATGTGCTCTATTTTTCGTTTCTCTTCTAAAGCCCAAACAATACATACTAATGCCAAACTTACTGAACTCAAAAGCTATGAAACTAACACAATAACAGCACAAGAACAACACAAAAAAACAGCACAAAATATAGCAACAAGTTCAACACAAAACAAGGCAAAAATCAACACATACACATGCTCTTCTTTATCTTCAAAACTCTGTAACTTTAAGCATGCTTATAAATTGATTCTTGACTGAAACTTAACACCTTCACTCCTCATACTTTCAGGTCAAAAACATATACACATAATTTGCTCAGCAACTCAATACAAAAATGAAGACAAAAACATGCTAATTTTTCTTTAAGTCTTAATAATTCTAAGCATGCATATACCTAGGTTTATAGCTGAATTTTGA